TCTGCATTCTCCTTTAATGTAGGGAGTACGAGTTGCCTTCCCTACGATCAAAAGAACTTGGTTCTTTGACGCCTTTACTAGGTAGGTTAAATTCTTTTTAATACCTGTAACCCCCTTTATTGTGTTAAATGAAACGCGATCTATAATCCGCTTATCGCATGCTGTGATTCGCACAGCTAAGTTTACGCGCATGACTCTATCATCTAGTTCAGGTGTACGTCCATACACGTGGTACAGATATATATGTGTATGTGTCCGTGCATAGATGTATATGTACATACACGCGCGCGCGCACACGCACATATACACAAATATTTGATTTTATATTTTCAATTTAAACTAAGTTTAAAGAAAATTAATCACTTTGATTAATATAATAAGTTTTGTGAAAGCTTATAATAGTATCGTATGATTATATATTTTTTTGCGGTCGAATAACAGTTTTTCGGAATTAAAATATGGGAAGCAATAAAAGTTTATCTACATACCTGCGTCATGGAAACCTATAAATGACATGATCCGTTGACATATATTATCGCTAATAGGTTTTGAACTTCGGTTGTTGCTTATTTACAGTTTCCATATCATCTTTTACCTTTATTAAATTAAATTAAATTAAATAATAATAATTAAATATTTCCTGACTTTCTCTCAATATTTATTTATGTTAAATTGAAAATAGAAACTCATAATATATTCGATAATGTGCTATTTGATTTCTTTTTAAGTTTACATTTCTTTATTATATTACTATAATAGATATTTTATATTTATCTGTGAAATGAAATCTTACATAATATTATATACAAAATATAATGAGTCATTGAAGTTTCATCTTTTACAGTATAGATAAAGTACCAAAAGTGACATCTCCTGTTTTGGTAATTCATGGAACCGAAGATGATGTAATAGATTTCAACCATGGTTTGGCAATATATGAGAGGTGTCCAAGAGCAGTAGAACCATTATGGGTTGAGGTATATAATAATATTCATTTTTTGTCTTTTGTTTTGGAAGAAGGAAAAGAAATTATATAAATAGCATAATTTATGTTATTAGGGTGCTGGTCATAATGATGTAGAATTGTACGATGAATACTTGGAGCGATTGAAGCAATTTGTAAATGTTGAACTGATAAACTGACGGCGACTAAGCCTCTCCCAGAATCAGGGGGGGCAGGGTGGAGGACATACACATGTGAGCAGTCAAGGACACACCACTTCTAACAATTCGAATACTACCAGCTCTATTTCAACAAGCTCACAAACTGAAAAGCTTGTCTAGCAAACGCCTCCCACAGGGGACAAGGCACCTGTCCTCCCCTGTGACGAAGAGTTATCTTTTGTTGTTCCAAATGATAGATTCTTATGTGATCAGAAGATAGATATTAATCAGAAAGTTCATCATAAAGATTCTTTAAAGGAAAATTGTTCAGGAAATACTTGGTCTGAGGATGACGACTCAAGTTTTGTTAGTAGCTGAGAAGAAGCTGTACAAGAGGAGGAGGAGGTTAACACGAAGAAAGAAGAAACAGTAACAAATGTTCAAGATAAGAGATATAAAACAATATTGACGAGTACTTCTGTTAGCCACCAGTTATGACTAAACAATATTAGTCAAGTTGCAAGAAAACATATTTCTTTGCCAAAAAATTTAAAAAATCCATTTAGAAAGAATAAAAAAAATATTGTTCACAGGACTTTAAAAAATTCATTTGGTCAAAGTCATAATGAAGACAGTATACAAATGTCCCATACAACTTTGGTTACTATTCAGGTTGAAGACTGCCGACAATATGCGATTGGAGAAAAGTCACTGTCGTCATTTTCCAATACTTTTAGTGATACTAATAAAGGTACTTTAGACTGTAAAAGTACCCGCAAATCAGAGAAGGAATCTCCTATAAATCAGTTCAAATATAGTAGTATAGAGTCTGTGTTGGATTCAAAATGTGCTAAGAGTAATGAAAAACATTGCTACAATAAAATTTTAAGTAAAGATATAACTGTAAAAGGTAAAAGGTGTGAAGAGCATGAGATACAGGTCCGTAATGAAAATTCGGCGGAATCTACAAAAATGTTTTCGTGGAGTAATAAGAGTAGCAGATTTGCAAGTAAACGTTTAGAAAAGATATGTAAAGATGAAGGAGAAAACGATTCTATGGGAAAGACACTGAAAACTAAAAGAATCTTTTGGAGTTCCCTAAGGAAATTTGGTCAGTCATCTTTGACAATCGAGCCAGATAAAATTGCGATGAACTTACCAAAGTGTTCTCCTTGTGCTTGTAGATTGGCTGCAAGCTCAAAAATTTTATCAAATGATCCCAATTTACTTCTCCAATATAGTGCAAAACGTGAGAGTCTTTGCCACGCTGTACGTTCGAAAAGTCCGTTGCATATCGACGTAGAAACGAATGTTATTTCGAAATCTTCAGAAAAGACGTCAATGCAGACTAATTTTTCAAACTTACAACAATTTAAAAAATCACGGTATACACATCGAAGCAGAAGCGTCGGTGAGCTGTGCAACATTGTCATCAAGTGAAACATCCTTGAGTTATTCGTGTATTGGAATGGAGCTACTGTTTCTGATAAAACTGGACTTCCGACATCATCAGTAGAATGCTCAGGAAATGTTATTCAGAAGTTAAAGAAAAAAATATATACTGAATAATCTGATAAAATTTGACAAGCAACTTCAGAGACAAAATGTTAACTAAATAACATTAATTCCACGTGTCTCATAAGTTGTCGTTCCATTATTCTTCCACATAACTGTCTTTAAAGAAATCATAGATTTATACGCACGACACTTATTCGGGCTGTAACAGTGCTAGTGAGACTGTGCACATAAATACACATACGATACATACATAAAATTTATTATATTTCTAGAGATATGAGATAATATATCTGTGCATACTAAATATTCTTACTACACATGCATACACATATCGGTGCATGCGTGTGTATGTTGTAAGCCGTTTTTGCAGCGTGTGCTGGGAAACGTTGTTACGAAAAAAAATATGTCGAGTATTATTATTATTATATTTTTTGTCTAGAATTATTATTATTATTATTATTATTATTATTATTA